ATTTTTAATTTTATATTAAAAAAAAATTAATGTATTTTTATTTTCTTTATATTTTTTATTTACTATTTATTTTTGCTTTAGGTTAACAAATCTTTTAATTTTTTTTTATTTTATTTTTTGCCTCTGGGAGATAGGATGGAGGGAACTACTGATTATTTCTTCTTTTTTCCATTATTTTAAGTTTTATCCTTTTCTGAATTTGTTTCTAAATACTTTTGATTAAATGTCAGAAATATGTAGAATTATTTTTTTGCACTTTTTGTTTTTTGTTTAATGAACTGTATACATTTTTTCTATTATACACACATGAATTTAAAGTAATGCAAATCATTACATTTAAGTATTTTTATTTGAACCTAATTTAAGGTTATTTCTTATAGACACTTATTTGAGTTGGTTAATGTTCCCCCAGTTGGAACGATTTTTATTAGGGCATGTACACTGATGCAGGTGGAACACATATAATGATGTCAGTGAAACGCAAATCTGATGCTGGGAGATACATGGCTGATAGTGATGTATCACACACGTACGTGGCTGCGCCCTGTAGTGCCTGCCATGGAGGAATTTGGTGATTGCAGAGTATCTCCAGCTGAGGTGGTGGGAGTTTACACATCAGATGAGAGCAATTGGCTAGGGGAGGAAAGAAGCAATACAATGCCCACAAAGCCACCAGTGATTGAGTAGGATTGCACTATATAATGTGAACTCAGGAGGGAGGGAACCAGGTGAGTTTTTAAACTGCATATAATATTTTTACAATTGTGGTCTCTGAAGAAGTTCTGTTTTTTAGAACAAAATGCGTAGGACCTGTATAGTATTTTATATTGAAGGAAAATATACCTATAGCTATTGAAACAGAGAGGAAAATAGGTAATTCTAGCCCCCATCTCCATCAGGGGAGGCACCTGTAAGGCGATTATTACTTCTATATCTGTGAGTGCGATATAGTACATTATCATACATCCATGTTGAGATGTTTTTACACTATATACTCTATGTTTTTACTTTTAGATTGAATCAGCTATGTCCTATTTTTGTATCATATACATATTTTCACATGAGTGGTGGTCATTTGTGTAGACCACCTTGGGAATCTGACAGATAAGTTTAATTTTCATTATTTTTTTTATTTTATTTTTTTATCTTCACTTATTTTTATCTTTCATTATCTTTTTTTTTTTGGGTGTAAAACATTTTGCATATGACGAAAATGTACCTATATGAACAACAACTAATTTGAAGCTCAATAGACAGAAGTGTGACTGTTCTACCCGTGCCATCCAGATAGCTAGGCATGGCCACCCCAACAGGGGATTTGAACCTGGGTCCTTCATGTCCTGGGCCTGCTATACTGCCTCTAAGCCACAGAAGATTTGGTTATTTTGAGTAGTTCTATCCCTGTTATAGCTGGCTATGTCTGCAGCACTGGGGGCTAGACTTCTTCTGTGGCTATTACCTGTGCTTCACCTGAGGCAGATCGCTCATCAACTTGGTATGTAAGCACTGCCTCGCCCTGGAAATTTTGTCAGTTTTTTGTTCCTGGTTTATGTGTTCAGTTCCTGTGTTTTAGCCTCTTGAACTTATACTCCATATTGACCCCAGCTTTTGTCTTAGTTTATTCTGACCACTGGCATCCTTTGACTATCCTGATGTTTGTGTCCTTGTTGGTACTGCATTGAAATCACCTTTCCTGCACAGCCCCCGTGCACAGATCTATCTGCAAGGATGAGCATACTTATCTGCGCTACAGACACAACCCGAGGCATGAAGCGCAGTGGATCAGTTACGAAAATAGAACCTCATCCACGAAGGCAGCGACCTTTGCCTCTCCTCCAGTGTGCAGGAAACACCTAATAAAGAGGTTTGCTCTAATCGCTTGTAGTAAAGGTTCTATTCCTAGAACGCATAGCAGAGAAGACAGAGGGGAGCCCTGTGTTGTTGCTTATCATGAAGGTTTACTCATACTGTGGCAGAAGGTTTTGTATAGAAAGCACCCACCCAGTTTCTGAACTTTGGCCAAGGCCCCAGTGCCACTAGGGTGTAAAACAGGACCAATCCACTCTGTCAAAATCCTTTTCGTCATCTACTGAGTGAAGAACTATGGGTTGTTTGATTTCTAGCACCCTGTGAGTTATATTTATTATTTTTGTGGTGTTGTCTCGAGCTTTCCTACCCGAGACAAAACCCTGATTGATCAGAGTGGATCAGTTCAGGCAAAAGGGGCTTAAATCTGAGAGAGAAAATCTTAGCAAAGATTTTAAGGTCGGGTCCTTGCCAAGTTTGGGGATGAGAGTAATGGAAGCTCAGAGCTTCGGGGATGGTAGCAGGGTCTCCTCAGTTAAGAGACTGACTTTTGCCTAGTGGGAAGGAGTCAACTGATAGCTCCTCCTTGGTAAAAGGGCATCAAGGAGTTGGGCTGCGTCAGATGGTGCTACTTTTGTCAGGTTAGTTTGAAGGTAGTCATGGATAGTGGAGGCTTGGCTAAGCAGCTTGGGCAGGTTATATAAATCCCTGTAGAAGTCACTAAATGCATGGGCTATTGCTCCTGTGGTTACCTATTGAGCATTTTTAGTGTCTATGATTTTTGCAATATACAATACTTGATGTCTCCTCTTGACAAAGCTTGTTATAGCTTGTTGAAGGGCGGTGAACCTAGACTGACGTTCCTATTTGAGGCATTACCCCCATTGTGAATTGCCAAATTTAAATCTTCTGGGACTACTCCTGTTAACAATGATTGGTTGTGACGAGACCAATCTCGCCACTGCATTGGAGGAGCCTGGTTGCCCACCTGCTGCCTTTAGACCATGGCCCCATGTTGAAATGCTTGATTTTCCCCTGCGGAGACATGAAAGCCGGGTCATTCGGTGCTGACCCTGTTTGAGCGGTGATACCCCAGATAGCTATGCCATGGAACCCATTCGTATAATGAAAGACTATGGGAAAGACTTTGGCTCCATGGCAATTGAACTGTATGAGTGTGCTCTGAGTGCCATTCAGTAATAATGTGCGCTCAGATCTGAGCTATCTGGGGATATGTTGAATGTACCTGTTTTGTGCAATGGCTGCACAGTTATATGTTTTTATGTGTTTTATTATCTTTCGCTGTCATGTGTTCAATTGAGTTTTGCCTCTGTCCTTGGAGATAATTGGATTACTTCCCAATTATCTCCAGGATAGAAGACTCTGTGGAACTGGTTTTGGGCAGAAAAGCCATGCTTCCTTTGGTCGCAAAGGACTACGATCTATCTTATGAACCACTGGACCAATCTGGATGATTTTGACATATGTTTGTATTTGGAGTATGCTGATTCTGATTATGTGAATGTGATGCATACTTTTCAAGTTATGAATAATGTGGAAAAATTTTATTTCTCTGCTTGTGATAATTACATTACCCATTGTGTAAGGTAATTGTATCACAGGCAGAGGGGAGGATTTTGTGTGGGAGTGTCTGAGTGTATTGTATGTGTTTATTGGTTGTGTTCCAAAACCCTGTGGGTGGTACTTATGTGTATATAAGAACAATAAACCCACAGCTCTGTCTGTTCACTGCTTGACCCTTAACACAGAGCTTTGTCTCGTTCTTGGGGGGGATTTACTGTATGCTGTTCCAGTTTGACTGCTAGGAGTGTAAACCTATTCGGATGGTTTTTCCTATTCGGCCGTTTACGGCATTCATATGGTTTCCTGTTCGGCGGATTGTTGTTCTGCAGTAGCTGTGTCTGTGCATCTGAAAGGGGAATATCGCCTAAGCGGTTTTTAACATCTTGTGGGCAAAACGGTCCGTCACATTGGTTAAATAAATCTGTTAATGATTTTGATTTGTGGACCCAGGACATACTTGAAAACGAGAGAAATCTCAATGTATCTTTCCTGGTAAAATATTTTATAAATAAATAAATAATAATGGTTTCGTTAGTACACCACTAAGCTCTTTTAATAACTTTGGGTGTATTCCATCAGGTCCCATTGACTTATTTGTCTTTACTTTTGACAGTTGAAATAGATCCTCTTCCTCTGTAAACTCACATGTAACAAATTACTTGTTTATCCTTTTTTCTTTCATTTTCATCTGTAAATACTGAACAAAAATATTCATTGAGGCAGTCAGCTCCTCTTCTGCATACCTTCCTTCTTTTATTTTAATCTAACTAATCCTTGTTTTACTTTCCTTTTCTCATTTATGTATCTAAAAATGTGTTTGTCCCTTTTTTTACTGTCTGGGCTATTTTCTCTTCTGTGTGTGATTTGGAAGCTCCTGCTTAGCCTCTTTATACGTAATCTTATAGCTCTGTCTATCTTCCTCACTTTAAAAAAAAAAAAAATGTATAAATTGCTAAATGCCAACTTTTAGTTTACTATTTTGGCCACATCTGTGGAGTACCACAGGGGTTTCTTAAATCTTTTGCTTTAACTGACAAGCCTAATGCAATTTTTAAATAATCCCATTTCTCTTGGACTCCATTTAAACTGCTATGGTCTGATGATGACTCCTTTACACATTCTAATTTTAGAAAAGTCTGTTTTTCTAAAATCTAAAACTTTGGTTTTTGTATGGTGAGACTCACCCTGTTCTTATATTAAACTACACTGACTGATGATCACTGGATCCTAAACTTTCCCCTACAGTAATCTGATACCAAAATCTCCACTTGTTAACACTAAATCTAGTACGGCCTTGAAGTGGAAATCAATCAATAAATTGATTATTTTTGTGTATCTGCCCCTGTCCAAATTGGTTATGGTGCATGCATGCTTTCCAAAGTAAATCACACCAGACATGTTTCCCGGTTGATGAAATACTCTGGAATGTTTATTCAGGGGGGACGACATGTCCCTTATAAAGCACAATTACATCATAAGCACTGTCAGAGATAACATGAAATAACACATCAATAATTGGTTAAGTGTTTTATTCAAAGCACGGCCTACTGGGTGTGCCATCTTATGTCATTACTGTCATCATGAAGTTCTCCCCCGGATTCCAGCGCCATCTTGAAAATGAGAGTGTTTGGTCGACGGGTGGGGTACTCCTGAGTGGCATCTAGTGGTCAGTTTAGTAATTTGTTGAATAATACTGAGTATAACTAAATGGAGTAAACAGGCATTTTACTAGCTAAAAAATTTCAATATCTCATTTCCACAACAGTCCCCCCTTAAAATGGCTATTTACCATAACAACTGCTACTATCCCTAATATGTCCCTAGTTGCCTGCAGCTCATCTGTCTTAACAAGCATCGAACTCTTCACTCCGTGGATAACCCACAGCGGCTAGTCCACCACATCTCCGCACGTGAGACTTGCCTGTAGAGACAGATGCTTTCCCTATGCTATCCCTACAGAGATGCAGTTGTCTGTCTGAATTGGTGGGATTGGAGGGGTGTATGTGGTGTGTCACATTCTAGGTCAGTGACGTCCTGGTGTAGGAAAGTAGGGGTTACGTTGTCTATAGTCTTCCCTACTGTCTTCTGTAATTCATCTGAGAGGCTGTCTAATTTTTCTATTGCCATAGTTACTTTACCATTGGACCCGGTGTTATCTGGAATGAAAGTACAACATGTCATGGTCTCGGGGAGGATTTTACATACGCCCCCCTTTTCTGCTAAAATCATATCCAGAGCCATTCTATTTTGACATGTCATTTGGGTGGTAGCTTGCAGTTGTTCTGCCAGGCCCTGTAGGGCATCTCTAGTATAGTTAACAAACCGCGGTTGGTTGTAACAGGTATAATTAATCCAATTAACATTCTTATTGATAGTGATTAATGGAATCAGGGATTTAAAGCCAGCGGTAACCTCATCCCTAGCTTTAAATTCGTTGGGTACCCCCCTTGGCACATCAATGGCATCAATATAAACATGTGGATCAAAGCTACCACGGATTGGGGCTTCCCTTTTGACTCTGGAGTGTGTGTGCGTGGGATAAAACGCATTGTGATGGCCATCCGGGATAATATGGATGGGCATTATGGCCTTAGTTACTGTGCATTCTCCCCACCATAGCCCCACCAGTTGGGACCTCAATTGTTTATCACCACATAGCCAATATATGTCCCCAACTGTCTTTGCATGATTCATTAATAATGCTATGGGTGGATTATGATAGGTGGAGCAATAACCAGATGAGAATCGGCCCATGAATGTACCTGTGTTCTTAGGTATTGAATAGCAAGTGTAGTTACCTGGATATACTGTGACTCCATCAGGTGGTCTAACATGTCCCTGGGTGATTGGGTAGACCTTTTTCCATGATTCACACATCAAGGAGTTAGTGGTGGATTGAGCATAAAGGCTCAGGACACATAATTCAACATCGGAAGGTAAATTTAAAGGCACCGTACCCAGGTGGGGCCTGGCCCCTCCACATACATAACAATTAGTTTTATTGTGCGAGTTAGCATTATATCTCATGCATTCCAGCCATAAATTAGTGTCTGAGAACCCAGTTTCTACTGCCATCGTGTCTTCGAAAGTAGGATTGGCTATGGCTACCATATCATGTAAAGCCTTGATATGTGGTTCAGTGGGTTAACAGTCATGTGCGTAGTTCCTACCCAGTCAGGTGAGGTAAGCATGTCTTGTAGGAAGAATGTCCCCAACTTGTTATATGAGTCACCGCCCTTCCAGTACATGCCCATTACATATCCCCCTGCATCCCCCGGACTGGGGTGCTCTATGTTTAAGGTGAGTTTGATTGGGGTTGACTTAAGGTCATTCTAGAGAGTAGGGGTTTCCCATCTTTGTCAACTCTATCTAGGGCACATTGGGGTCTATATCCCGATGGTCTACCAGTATTCCACCCAGCCGCTTTCCAAGAACTACAATGATGTCCCCAGGACCCTCCAGTCACACAAATGTATTGGGTCTTTTTCATCAGGTATGTCTTTGTGTGTGTATATATATATATATATATATATATATATATATAGCAGCGTGTTGTGTTTGTGGAAAAGTGCAAACAACAATATCACAATAATCAAAGGTAAATGTAGCTACATCTGTGTTTAAATTGTACTAAAAGGTGTAAACATGGTTATCTTTGGTTATAGCTACTTGTTGGGCCTTTGTGATGGTTAGCAGCAAATGAAAACATAGGAAGCATAGAAAACTCATAACTCAACAGGGGCTGCTTCCTCTGGAGCAGGCACTTTCTTGCAATGTGAGGCGTGTATCCAGGAACTTTTTCCGGCCAGTTTTACTGAGGTAGCCATGATTATTAGCACTTGGTAAGGACCATCAAATCTTGGCTCAAGAGTGTGCTTCCTAAGGAATTTCGTGACCATAACCCAGTCACCTGGAAGCAACTTGTGTGTACCTGTATTCGACTCAGGATCTGGAATAGAAGAAAACACTTAGGCATGGAGTTTGGTCAAGGCATGAGAGAGAGCAGTTACATAATCTACCATAGCATCTGACTGAATCTGAAGCTGTTGGGGGAAATAACAACCTAACCTTGGTGCTGTACCAAACAAGATCTCATAGGGTGATAAGCTGTATTTTCCCCTAGGGGTGTATCTCACACTGAATAATGCTAATGGGAGACTCTTGGGCCAGAGCATGATAGTTTCTTGGGACATTTTGAGCATTCTGGCCTTCAATGTGCCATTCATGTGTTCTACCTTACCACTACTCTGTGGGTGATATGGCGTGTGGAAGGCAAGGGTCACCCCCAGTGCTGCCCAGACTTCCCGTGTTAATGAGGCGGTAAAGGAGGTTCCTTGGTCACTTTCAATCACTTCTAGAACACCATACCGGCAGACAATTTCCATCATATGAAGCTTGGGGTAAGATTGGCCACTGGGAAGGCTTCTGGCCATCCTGAGAATATGTCCACAATGACTAATGCATATTCATAGCGTCCACTCTTTGGCATCTGGATGTGGTCAATTTGTATCCTCTGGAAAGGGTATTGTGGTTTCGCCAGGTGGTTTAACAATCTTCCCGGGGTTACATTTAGCACAAATTGCATAAGATCTACAAAAGTTCTGTGTTAGAGTAGTAATACCCGGTGCTTCGAAGTATTTATCAATCAGGGAGTTCATCAAATGTTTTGACAGATGCGCTGGCCCATGAGCCCATTGGACAACAGCTGGATACATATTTTTGGGTAGGTAAAACTTAAGATTGATGGTGTAAACATCATCACGGAGAACAGCTCCTTTGTTCTTCCAACTTTGTTTCTCCTGGGGAGTGGCAGCTGCTTGTTGCTCCTTTAGAAGTCTGAGATCTGTAGGTAATGTCTGCATAGTGTAGATAGGTACTGTGTCAGTGGCCACTCTTCTGTCCACTTCCCACCCTTGTCGTGCTCCTGGCAGTAGTGTGACCACAAAGGGGGGAACTTTAAGGCGTCCAATATCATCCAGGCCAGTGGACCAGGGCTTTGTAGGGATCTTGTCCGGAGCACTGGGGGCATGAGGGACCCTTGATTCCTCTGTGGGAGCTGTGAGATGTAATAGTATGGGGAGGGAACAAAGTACTGAAGTATCTTTCCGTGACAAGGGTGTATCTAACTGAACTTGGCCGTCTGCACTAAAGGTTATGGAAGCTTGCAGCCGAGACAGGACATCAGCACCCAAAAGGTTAATGGGGCACGTGGAGGAAACAACAAACCGTGAGAGGATATCTGATCCCACATGGAGGAGTTTTGTAAGTGGGCTATTACGGGGGGTACCGTCAACTCCAACACAGGAGACATCGGTATCTGACAGGAAGGATCGGTCAGGCAGGTCTTGTTCTCTAAGAACGCTACGGGCTGCACCTGTGTCAACTAGGAATGTAGTGGGATGACCCTCTACGGGTAGAACTACAGTGGCTAGTGGCCCACCCCCATCCCCTGTAGACACTGCCATGGCAGGGGCATTAAAGGGACACCGTAGGCACTGTATCTGCTTCATCTCATTAAACTGGTTATAGTGTCTGGAGTCCCCTGGTACCATCATTTCTTTCAGCATTAAACAGTTTTTAATGTTGTAATGTTTTAATGCTAAACAAGAGTCCACGGCAGTCTATCCCCTCTGTGCTGCTTTGGCTAATAAGGAAGTATTACCCTGAGAGGCAATGGGCAGCTGTGATTGGTTGAGAGTGTCAGCTGACTGCTCTTAATCTGTCAGAGTTCCAACTGACGGTATGAATGGGTATGACAACAAGGAAGTGTGTATTCTCTGCCTTAGCTACACACACAGAAGGGGCCGGACTGTGGGTGGCCAGGGACTCTTATTTTGTGGCATACTGCACGAACATGGTGCAACACTGAATGGAGGGACAGTGCCAGACCACTCCAGGCACTATAACCAATTCAAAGAGACAAAGTGGTTATAGTGACTACAGTGTCCCTTTACGCATCAGTGAGTTTGCTCTCCTCTGTATGGGCTGTGTTACTTACTCTAACCCCTTTCTATGTCATTAACCATAGCTTTTTGCAGTCTGAACATGTCTATCATTATAAATAATGTTTAATAGTAAGTGAAGTAAAGTTCCTGTATGTCTTTGGATAAAACATTAACTATCGAGGTACTATCATTTATATGAATTAAACCATAACAATTATACCACCCTGTAACTAAAATGAGTAACCAGTAGTGTCTGGGTTAATAAAACAGGTCACAAATCCTTCTAATGCTAAACCATAATTTAACGTAAAGGATGTTACTGTAAACATACGATCTGTAACTAGCAAGATTCGATTAAGTAAAGATACAATGTTTAAAATAACTTGCATTATTTGGCTCTTTCCCTTGTTGCAAGACACAGGCTTTAATGAATAATCATCTGGATAATCAGCTGTTATGCTCTTATATTCGTGTCCAACAGATCTCATTTGTAGGTCGCACCACAGTTGCAAATGACATTTTAGCAAATTATTTTTTTTTTATATATTATATTATTATCACGGACATATTTCTGATACAGGGAAACAAATGGCATGATTGTTTTAGTAATTATAATGTTTCTGTTCATTAGAAGCAAACGTGGCTGTAGATAGGTCACGGTACTGGCAGGGCCAACCTCCTTCTGTACTAGGCGCCATCTTTAGGGAGGTGGCCGACGTACTTTCAACAATACACTATATTATAACTAAAAAAATAAGTCAGTTTCGAGATGAAATACCAAACTATAAATAAACCTGGTAGGTTAAATAAGACAGTTGAGAACATTATGCATTTAACAGCCTATAAAGCTGTCCATAGAAACATGTACTTTAAAATAACATGATGCAAAATAAACTCACGGAATTCAACCAATTTCCTTTATTATCCAACAACCATTAATCACCTTCCTCTT